AAAGAGGTGATTCCCTGGGTCAATGCCTCAAAGAATTCAGGTCTGGAACATCGTCGCGAAGACGATCTGAAAGATGGAGCATTTGCTCCTTGAAGGGGTTCAAAACCCTAGAAGTCTAAGGTCGACTATGCCATTCTTTTTTGGGAAGGAACTTCCCGAACTCTAGCTGAAGTAGCTAGAAGCTCACTCCCTGAATTAAGTAGCTGCCTAACGGTGTCTATACTTATATGTTGTATTATAACCCTGGGAGTCCAAGACCATGTTTAAAACAGTCTTTAGGTGATCCGAAAAGGAACTTCCTTTACTGGGGTGGTGCCGGAAATAGTCTTTGGACTTCTAGGGTAAGTAAGGTACGTAAAGTCTTTGACTCCCAGGGAATCACCTCCTTTCAGCCTCGATCGGCGAGGCGGAGCAAGCCGCGGAGATCGAAGCCCGAAAAAGAGAGGCGGATCCACCTCCTCTCGCGCGTTGCGCGCGCGACTGATCTTGAGCGGGCGCGGTGACTGTGGACTTCCCCCCCCCCAAAAAACCGAGTCCTGTAGACTCACCCTCGGCCTCTATCTACCTTCTGAGAAGGTGGGACTGGGGTGGGTTTGGAGGGTCCAAATACCTTCTGAGGAGGTACTTGAAGGTGTAGGGTCAGACATCCTGCAGGTTTTAAGGTCAATTTTGCCCAACGTTTTTTCCGCCGAGTCCGAAAGCCCTTCCAACCAGCCCTGCAGAAGGTTCTTTCCCGAAGCTGGCTCGGTAGCATGTCGAAAAGGCAGGTCCAATCGACGATCTGGACCGAAGGTGTTCAGGAACGAAACCAGTCCACCACCGGGTCACCGAAAGACAGACGAAACCATTCTTTTGATCATTTTGATCTTTCGTCCAACCCGAAACCAGGGTCGACCTTGGAACCATGTTTCACCCTTTGAGCTCTCCATATGAGGGTGTCCAGGGTCGCGTCTGGGTCAATTTTTGGTTGGTCTCCAGGAGGGTCGGTCGTGGTATTTCGCGGCTGAACTCGCCACCTGCGTTGGCCTTTCCTCCAGCCCTGCCGCCCGACGGCCGACTGGGGGTGGCACCGTCTCCGTCGTCCAAACGACCGGTCGAAAAAGGTGGACCTGGTTTTAGGTCGTGTTTTCATCCTGCTAAGCACTGCTTGGTGGTTGGGAAGAAAAGAACAGTAAACAAACACAAACAAACGCATGGTGGGACGCCTAAGCTTGGGTGAATAGGGTAGTCCCAGTCGTTGAAAGTCCCTTAAAGAACATGAGCTGTTCGACGAATGGTCGGATTTGACACGAATGACCACATGTTCTCGTCCTCGGACCAATCAGGCACCAGCCAACACCGGTCGCCAGGCCGAACCACGTCGCCAGGCCGAACGGGAGGAGCGACGGAAGGCCGAGGAGGACGCCCAAGCGCGGCGCGAGGCGTCTGGGTGGAAGAAGTAGCGGAGTAGGCCGAACGCGGCGGCCAGTGAGTCCAAGAGCTTGAGCAACTTGATGGGTTTCTGGAGCAAGTTGTGTTTCAACAAGGGGCTTGATGAAGATGTTGACAGAAGGGTAGGCTGCTGTTGCTCTAGCTGTCATGCACCAATGACAAGAACATCAGAGTCATGAAGTGTCCTGATTTCAGGTGCAACGTTCCTTGTCCCCCAAGGTAGCTGCCCGTCGTCGATCGAGGAACTCTTGGTACAGCATTGGATCCCGGTACCATGCTGGGTCGGATGGTTCGGTCGATCGGACGATCCTGGTCCAAGACTTTGATTCGATCCAACGGTCCATTGCAAGGTTGATGTAGTTGCATTGGTGAGCCTATCCTTTGGATGGCACACTGCCATACACTGCCATATCTCTTGTCTTCCAACAAAAATCAATCTAAACCTCACGAAGTCTAGGCAAAGGAACACGGACGGACACCAGAGATGATACCAAGGTCCATGGAAGATTTTCAGAGAAGGAGATCTAATATATATATATATATAATTATGTCAAACTATGTAGCGCTTTGAAGGGGCGTGAAATGGAGACCCGTATTTCCTTAGAAGCAGCTGGTATAGACGTGTCAGGCTTTGTCCTGGGTCCTCCTTCTTCGTTCCAAGGGCAAAACAGGATCCAAGTAAACCTTCCTTTGAGAAGACCATGCTTTGTAGGTGGGGGTGATGGGTTTGCCTTTCGAGTAGAGGAGCTCATCTGATCGTTATGCTTACCTAGCCTATGCCTTATCCTTCATCCATTTTCCACACGATGGAAAGCCTGGAAGCTACGCACGATGGAAACACTTTGGTTGGACTTTTAGGCCTGATTCCAATTCCAACCACCAGATTCAATGGTTCTCACCGGAACAACTACTGCTTTACTAAGGACGTTACACCACCGAGTCAACCATTTGTTAAATGATCTTGGAAGCCTAGTCTGGATGAGACTCTCTACCCTCTCCTACCCAGCTGCGTGGTCGAGAGATCAACTTGGTTGGGGGGCTCAGTGACAGGCATCTTTTGCAGGGATCGGGGCTGCCCAGACCCAGACACTCCAGTTCCTACCCTAGAAGTCCAGTTCTCCTCTTCTCATCCTCCCTTCGTGAAAGATGCAGGACATGCCTTTAAAAAGGCCTCCAACTCGATAGAGCCATTTTTTTGTCTAGGACTCCCAGGGTGGTATGAAATATGTTGCAATCCACATCTTCAAGGGCGTTTTGTTGAGATCTTTTTGAGGGTCAATGTACTTCGTTTTTTCTCATCAAAGTCACAGACAGATCGTGTCACAGTGTCAGACACTTCTGCAAAGGCTCCGGTGCCGACAGTCCCTCCGGTCCAGGCCGAAAGGAAAGAGCAGGAGCCGACAAAACCACTTCATGTCCGGGTCTGGAAGTGAAGCAAGCAATTTTCGCTTGGAGCGTGTGGGAGTTGGCAAATCAAAAGTGAGAAATGAAGAGAAAACACACAGAACAAGCACATAAGAACATAGGAATTTGGAAAACATGTATTCATACATGTATTGACGGTTGGTGATATTATTAGTCATTTTGTCCTGAGATTATGTTCAATATTGAAACCACCAATTGAATGTGTTGGCATGATTGTTTTGAAGAGACAGGTGCACGTTTGCAGCCAATCAGCAGTTTCTTTTTTCTAATGAAATCTCTTGTTGATCTCGATGAACCCTTTGGCTCAAGCGCTCTTGCTGGACCCTTTGCGTTTGCTCCCAAGCTTCCATAAAGCTCCGAACACTCGCCATGGCCGAGTTGTCAACCTTTGATCTGATGAAGGACGCTCCGGGCTGCACGGGCATGTTTTGGCGGGCAGACCCCCGGACGGGGAAGAAGGGCAGCATGGATAACTGGCCACGAGATGGAGCGCAATTGCGCGGCATCGTCCATGAAGTGAATGGTGAAAAGTGGTTGGAGTGCAAAGAGGTAAAGCAGAAAGGTGCTTCCTGGACAGCCTGCGAGACGGACCAATGGATGCCTTTCAGATATTCTCAGTATTACTTGCAAGAGGCTGCATGAAGTCTGAGTGTGGATCCTTGCGCAGCTAGTGCTGATGACGTTGGGAGGATGTCCCACCTCGTCCAAACACCTGATATCTTCGCATGTTTTCCTTGCCACACAGCCTTTCGACGGATGGTCGAAGCATGGAAGTATGGCAAGCCCTTCACAGACACTTTTGACGCTGGCTAGCCTGTACAGTCCTGTCAAACTAGGCCACGTTTGCGGGAGAGAAAGATGGTATGAATTTGAAAGCGGTGGAAGACATCCTGCATCTTCCGATGACCGCGCAATCCGCAAGTACCGTTGTGATCTCATCCATGGGTATCTGCAGGATGAACTCTGTTGGACATCGTTCACCCAGGGGTTTTGGACGCACCCGTCCTTGGTCGACAGCGTGTTGTCTTTTGGGTGAACACCAAAAAAAACAGGCTGAGACTCGAACCCAGACGTGAAACCCAGACGTTTGATCGGACCAGGTATGACTTAAGTCCCGGTTCTGGGTGCTTTGACTTCGCTTGCTCCGAGCCAGACTCGTTCGGCCTCGTGTCTCTTCGCACCAAACGGGCGGCTCACTCGGCCGCGATGCCCGGCTCGCCGCGGTTTCACCACCTAAAAGGACGGTTCAAACAGAGGCGGTTTCACTCTCTCTGATGGTCTGACGTGGACGGTGGGGGGTGGAACATGACTGATGATGTCAATTGCCCCCCCCCCATCTGGATGGGACCGGCAAAGGATCTCCAGTATACATGACCAGTTCTTTTCAGACCTCGCAACCGGTTTTTCCTGCTCAGTTCTGGGATTCATTCTTTGTTTTTGTTTTAAATACTTCAACCGTCAACAGTCTTATGACTTTTCTCAGGTTTCGGACGAACAACTTGGTCGATCTTAGCTCATCCGTGTTTGTGGAGCACCGCCAGGAGGAGAAAGAGAAAGCAAGGCACAGATGTCTCAAGTTCGCGGACAGCGGACAGGAAGTGTTTCGCAACAGAGGTCTTGAACCTCGGAAGTCAAGGTCGATTGATACTACCAAAGCAGGAGATCTCTGTCCGGATCACCGAAAGACCATGTAAAAGATCGTCCAAAGGACTCCCCAGGGGTGAACGTGAAGGTATCGTTGAGACTTTCGCACCTTCGCCGCATCATTCGACTCACTGTTCTTTGTAGCTCGCGAGCGAGGGCGCGCTTGGCGCAAGCTGTTTCAGCTCAAAGACTTGGAAGCAGAGCACAAGGGGTTGCGCAAGCCGGGGCTTTTGTTTCCTATGCAACACTCTCAGGTTGAGTCTGACATGACCTTGGAATACCTTGGATGTTTCTCTAGAGGGTGTACAGGATTGACTTCTACTCATAGATCTCTTGGAACCACCAGTGACTTGCCTTTAATTCCTTAAGACTTAAAACAGTGACTCCTACAACTTGACTTGCTTTCGAGTGACTCTCAAGTCGGTCCTAGAAACCGGGTGTTTTTTCTCATCGGGTCCAACATGTATCTCCTGGGTGGATCTTTGACTTCCTCTGAAACAGAAACTTCTGTTGACCCAAAGAGCTTGGCTTGGAAGAATGGGCGAGGGACCAGGGACCTACTCCGTCAGCCTCAGGCTCTTCAGTTGAAGCGAGGATTGATATGGATTGATCCAATTCATGCAAGCCTTGTTTGGACACCACGCCATGCCATGATTGGACACGTACCCGTGGCTGCAAGAGCTAGTGCAGAAGCGTTGTCCATGCTGGGGGAGAAAGGCATGCCAAGGAGCTTGAAGAGAAACCTTTCAAACCATCATAAACACATTGTATGCTGCATATATACAGCACCAGGACCATCCTGTTTGGGTGTCCTGCCTGGACGACTTCCTGCACCTCGGGACCGATGGTCCAGGGAGACAGGATGGTCCAGGGAGACAGGATGGTCCAGGGTAGCTTCAATACATAGAGGAAAAGAGATCATCATGTCTACCTGGATTTTTGCATGGTACATCAAATTCACGATCCGACCGTACCTGAGAGTCTAAAGTACTATTGTAAACAAAGGGTCTGACGAGTCCTATCGTACCTGATGCCGGGAACTTCCTGAATCCTTCGCAAAAGTTATATAAGTATCGTCTTCCGTCAACTCCTGTAGGGTTACAGTATATACTCTGGGAGTGCACGGAAGTCGACGGGAGCAGAGACCCGGACAAAACTTGAGTGTCAGTGGAGTTTCCGAAATCAACGGAAGTCCAGGGACAACGCTGTCACCCAAGTCCCACACCCATTTCTTGAAGTGATGTCCCATGAAAAAGCGGCCATCGGAGCTTCTTGGGGGGGGGGCTGGCCTTCCTTCTGTTCATGAAGGAGAAACCCCTGCCAACACCACCCACAAAGGTAGACTGTTGGATACTCAACACACGATAGGCCGAGGCCTGCCGGGTCGAAAGAAGCACCCGAGGCCTGTCGGTTCGTGGTACGGTTTCGGACTTTGTCTTCAGGATGAACTGTTCCTCCGGTGTTGCGACAGATCCAGAGACCGACATGACCGGAAGAGGGAAAAAGGCCGCAATTCCACCCCCCTTGGCGGATCTCCCTCTTCAAGCACATGCACCTATTTATCTGACGAGTACGGAGTTTTTTCACTGGCCCCCCCCAGTCCACCTGACCGTGCTTTACGTGCCGAGTGGTCCAACAAACATCCGAGAGGTCCAACATAAAGTCCGTGCGTTGTGAGAAGCAAAGTCTGCCAAGTCTGTGCGTTTTCTTTTTTCGCGCGAAGAAACGGACTTCGAGTGCCAGCTTTGGAATGTCCTAGACTCCTTGAGGAGTGTCTTCCTTGGAGTACAAATGAGTGCTTTTCCCAACCTCTTCCTTGCAGTGCTCAAATCGCTGGGCTATGTTCAGCCGTGACTACCCTAAGAATCTTTACCCTCAAATGGAAAAGGGTTTGCTTCGGGTCGTTCGAGCGCCAGGAAGAGGTTTTCAGATTCTTCAGGTGTGACATGTGGTCCTCCACCATGCCCTATTCCAAGTGTTCTTATCTAGCGACGCCAACTAGATGTACCAACAATCATAGATCCCCAACAATTGGATTGGAATACTGGCCACAAAAACCTTGAAGACGCCTGAACAAACCACCCATCTATGAACAGTAGTCTGGGTATGTATGTTACACACACCCTAACCTGGTTTGTAGGGTCCTCAGTAAACAGTTGTGCGGGATTCAGCCAATTGAATGAATGGTGGAGTGCTTGGAAGCCTAGGGTATCCATGCTTTGGGCGACCCTGCAAACCAGACGGCTCTGTCGGGCAATGCCGCCGTTGTTTCAGGCAGATCCTCAGCTCTGGGAGCATGAGCGAACCTGTGCTCTCCCAGGCGGTTTTCCTTTTTGGGGATTCTTCTTACAAAGGCCACAAAGGGAAGGCGACCTGAAAAGATGTGAGGCTTTGAAGATGGCTTGCAGATGGTTTCATGGTTTAAGGGGAGATGGTTCGGAGTCTTCGGAGGAAGACCTTAACAGCTTTTGCACGTCTTCACGCTTCCTCCGCATGTCACAGTCCATCATTGGCATGCAAATTCATCACATCTCCCAACATCTGGGAAAGGATTCAAAGAGACAAAAGAACATGTAGCAAAAACACAAAAGAACAACAACATACCTGGACCATCCAATGGGTGTCCAATGGACATCTCTAAGTAGTGTAGACCATTGGACACCTATTGGATGGTCCTGGTATTTTGTTCAATTCACATTTTGGGATCTTGTTACGTTCGTAGCTTTTGGTGCCTAGTAATGCCAGGAGCTACGTTCGTCGCGTCCTTGCAGCGATGCCGCGATGCCCTTTATAGCTACCTAGTTACTCATGTGTTCACTTTTTGGGATTGGCGGCCAGTGGACGCAGTAGGTTTCCACCAAGCGAAACACCGTTCAGCGTCCACGCCGAAGCCACCGCGACGCCGTTCGGCCACATACGACCCCGTCGATGTTCGTGGGGTACGGTTGGATGCTTACGGGAATTACTTGGTTCTTCTTCTTTTTGGTTTGTCAGTCTCTTCTTCTGCCATGTCACGTATCTACTTGGCTTCTGACATCAAGTAATCCTGACGTCACGGATCGTTCTCCACATTCTCGAATGACTATGGTTCTCCACATGTCAACCTCCTGGACCAGGACACTTTGTCCATTTCTGACTTCCGTTCAACCATCAAAAGAGTTCGCTTGACCTGGTTGAGTTGCAGCTCCTGAGTAAGAGTTGTGGGGTAAAGACCCCTTAGACTCTTGATCAACAAAGCCCCCACAGACATGGATGGCAAAACCTCTAACACCTTTTGGTTGGTTTTAAGAATAAAGAGTCGACCTGAAAGCCAACGGCCCTAGGCTTTTCAAATTACTGTTAATTTAAGTTTATCTTCACCACCATTGTTTTTTACCAACGGATTTGACACGACCCAAGAAACCAGGTCCTTCCCCTGGTTTCTTGGTTCTCTTCGTACAAAACCAGAGACACCTGAACCGGACACCAGTTCCCGAACCGGCCAGGGCGAGATCCTGCGGCGGCTCAGCGCCGCAGCGCAGGAGTGGGGACACGACGAAGTCGGAACTCGGTGCTCGGAACTCGGAGCCGCTGTGGGAAGGGAAGTCCAGACCACTCCAGGATCCGAGCTGAACGGAGGGTCCAGGGTCGCATTTGCCTCTTTTTGATTGAGAACTCTCATCTCCAATCCCTCCGGGTTCGGGTCACACGAGTGTGGCGACAAGGGTTAGACTTGGAGACTGAAAAAGCATGAAGAAGCCATTGAAAGATTCGTTGGGTGGATTTTTGATTTGACTGAAGTCACTTTGGAAGACTGTCAGATTTTCACTGTTGATACTGACGTTCACTATTTCCACCCCATCTCAACATGGTAGATGCGGCTGACATGACTCCTGCACTTTCGCTCCATCAAAACCGCAGTGACGACAGTTGATCAAGGACCTGTGTGTTTTCAAGTCTCAGTGGTACACACTGCTCACGCAGGCTTCGACGAACACATGTTCCTGTACCTGAATTCCAAGGGGGGATGTCAACATAAAGATCAACCAGCGATCCCTGCCGTGCTTGTGTGTTGACAAGATCAACCAATGGTTGCTTGCGCGACTAGATGCTTTGAATGGTGGCCAACAGGGGGGATCGACCACAGCCAACGGAGTGACAGCCAACGGAGTGGCTCGGTTGGCCGTGCTTTTGCTTGGCAGTTAGGGGTGGGACCGAAGGACCGCCCGGTGCATCACCGTTTCTGCGTTTAACAACGGACAACAACGGTTTCTGGGTGGATGATCTAGAATCTGGACAGATCTTTACATATATCTTTACGGTGTAAGTCTTCGGAAACACTTGTTTACAAACAGGTGGTTTTCCACTTCCATGTTTATGAGTTGGAGGGAATCCATACCTGGCAAAATCCATACCGACCTTTTTTGAAGTCTTTTTCATTGAAGTGACCGACCATGCGGAAGGCCATGTGAACTATTTTCTGCCACCCTTGTCCTTCTTACGAGAAGGACAACAGTGAACACCTCGGCCTGCAAAGGCCAGGTCGGAGGTCTTGGGGATGAACCTTCGATTCGTCAAAGCCTCGGGTTTAGCATTCCTGGCCGACCATTGACAGTCAATTTTTATGAAGAACCAGTTGGTTTACCCCTAAGCATCCGCACCCTCAAAAGCAAGGGGTTTAATGGTACAAACCCTTGTTTTGGAGGGTTCGACCCCTTCTAAGGAGGGGATCCTTAGGGATCCTTAGGGACTAAGGATTTTTCACCACAACACCAGGTCAACCGAACTCGGGACTAACGGTCTTTTCTGTTCTGACCGGCTCGGCAGCACTGCTTGCGATCTTTTGCGGGGCACCGGGGCACCATTGCTCTTGAAAAAGAGGGGTGCTGGACTTGGTTTGTCCAAGGGTCCAAAACCAAGTCCAGGAAGTGTTTTCGTTTTTTGGACTGTGCTGGTGTTCTGGACTTGGTTTTGTTGCTTCGCCATTGAAATCAAGAGAGGTGCTTGAGAAACTTTAAAAAAACACACACGGGACACGTGTGGTTAGGACGTTTGCGTAAAAGATGAACTTCAGTTCTATCCAACCCTTAAACAAGTCGTACTTGGGACGACAGCTAAAATATAAGTTTACACTCCTTTTCCTAGAAAAAAGCAGCAACAGCAACAACTACTGCTGTTACTACTGCTACTGCTACTACTACGAGACATGTACTACTACTACTACTACTCCTCCTGCTACTACTACTACTACTACTACTACTCCTGCTGCTGCTGCTGCTGCTACCCCTGCTGCTGCTCCTGCTACTGCTGCTACTGCTACTCTTGCTACTGCTATCGGCTACTGCCAGTGCTAGTGCTGCTACTGCTACTACTATCTCCACTACTACAGCTCCTGCTACTGCTGCACTAAAACTAGTACTACTACTACTGCTACTACTACTACCACTACTACTACTGCTACTGCTACTGCTACTGCTACTACTACTACTGCTGCTGCTACTACTCCTCCTATTGCGACTGCGACTGCGACTACTGCTACTGCGACTACTGCTACTACGGCTACTACTGCTACTACTGCTACTGCGACTACTGCTACTACTGCTACTGCTGCCACTGCTGTCACTGCTGCTACTGCTACTGCTGCTACTACTGCCACTACTGCTCCTACTGCTACTACCGCTACTCCTACCACCGCTACTACTACCACTACTACTACTACTCCTACTGCTACTGCTACTGCTACTGCTACTGCTACTGCTACTGCTACTCCTACTACTACTACTACTACTACTTCTACTACTACTACTACTACTCCTACTCCTACTCCTACTCCTACTCCTACCCCTACCCCTACTCCTACTCCTACTCCTACTCCTACTCCTCCTGCTGCTGCTGCTGCTGCTGCTGCTGGCACTAGTATTGGAATGAAGTCAGCATTCCCCAGACCCAAGACCATCCCAAGCCCCCAGTCTAACTCAGGAGACGAGGAGACTGGCTTGCAGCCGGCTTGTTGATTGAGAGACGGTCATGTGGTGCTTTTTGCATGTCGACAGGAGGCGCGGCGCCAGCATTCTTTGGCATCTGCCCTGATCTTATGGCATCGGAAGACTCGCAACCGAAGGTGCCGGGAGTGATGAAAACCAGAATTGCTTGAGGGTCGTTGGCTTGGTGTGAGGATTTGTTGGTTTCACCCTGTGGGAAGACACTTGAATTGTCTCACATGTTTTTTCGGGTCCCTGATCTCATCAGCAACATGACTTGCTGGCGGTCAGAATCCTCGTCAGTTGACTTGCGACATGGGGAGACTTTAAACTTTAGACCATGGAATCTTGATGAACTAAACCCCCTTCTTCATATACATGCCAAATAATGAAATCCCTTGCAGAAAAACCGACATCTTTGGTGCCTTGTTAGACACGTCGCCTGACCTGGTGGATTTCTGGAGCAATGGGACCCCCTCTTTCCTCCCCTTCCGCCGCGTGGCTTTGGACGGCCACGAAGTCCGAAACTGTGCCACGAAGTCCAGGTGGAAGATCCATGGCTCTGGGGGTGTTCTTGGGTCACGTTGCTCCTGGCTTTTGGTTGAATCATTGGAATCATGTTGAAACACTAACATCCGTATAATCCGTGGGTGCGCGAAAGTCGGCATGGCTTTCGAACTGTCGGCGGTCCATCTACTTAATTTTTGGACTTCTTCCCCCATCTCTCAGTGCCAGAAGTTCTGCCATGCCTGGAATATCTCCAACCATGCAGAAGTTCTGCCATGTGAGACAGAGAGGTTGCACTAGTTGGAAGACATCGTGGCGCATTGGATTGTACCAGGATCTTCCAACTGTGCAACATTTCTGTCGAACTTGGCTGGTTCTATAGAAGAGGCAGACATGTTGCATAGTAGGAAGATGCAGGAATTCACAACCCTTCGTTTCACGTCCTCAAAACCATCCACCCCTCCACCATCAGGGCATCTGCCTGGCTTCGCCGCTCCAGCGCCCGACGTGGAGCCGCACGCTTGCTGCGTTGGTGGCACCACAACACCCAAACCCAGCTCGGCCGCCGCTGCGCGGCGCGGGCGCGGGAGGCGCGGGGGGGGGGAGGGGCGCGGGGGGTGGGCTTGGAACAGACGTCCACGTGGCATGGTGTCGTTGGACAGAAGTCCGCTTTGAAAAGGTGTTCTTGAAGTGTTTTTGAAGGTGTTCAGGCATCATTTTGGGTGGTCACCTTCTTCAATCTTATTCTGAGAGATTCAAGCGGCCAGACTTAGAACTTTCTGCAGCTTCATAGAATTTGGATCTACAGGACACCGCCTATCTTCCAAGCTTCTCTACAAGCAGGCCATGCCATCCACTTCCATGTTAGTTCCAGGGAGAGTGAACCATATGTAATGTGGACTCTTGATTAATAAACCGACCCCATTTGAATGCGCGGACTTGCGGGCTCGCTCCCACCAACAGTCCCTTGCCCACGGGTGGAGCGGGTACGGGTGGGTGTATCTGGTCAAGAGTGACACCTGAAAGCCGCTGAGCTATGTACACTACGATGCTTTCCATCGAAACAATGGGGTCGATTGCATAGAGATCAAACGAAAGATGCCTAGGGCTCCAAGGCTGAACCAGACAAAATGACTGCACTGCACTACGCACCTTTTCTTAGGTTCCGGGTGGTGAATTCGATCCAAGCTTTTCTTCCTTGCCATGTGGTTGCGTACCAACCTAGAGAAGTTGTCCCTTTTGGGAAGTGAGATCTCTGGCCCTCCAGGCCATTCAGGTTTAGGGTTATCGGCAGGAATAGGCGGGAGTTCAATCTCCGTGTTATACGGAGGATTGTGGGGGAGCGTGAGCAGAATGCTATGTATCCATTTGTACACTTCGGCTGTATTTGGTAGCTTAGGGCATCTAGAAATCCCACATCTCTGATCCATTGCAAAACCTAAACGCGTCAGGCTTGTCCCTCCCTGCTGTGTGTAGGTTGGAAGAAGCTTTGTGGATGAACACCGTCTGTTTGTGCTTAACCATCTATCGAAAGGACTCCGACACTACTCGGTACGTCTCGCGAGGAAATTCAGTGGGGAGCATTTGGACCGGGTCTGTACACTCATTGTGCAGTCCAAATTTTACCTGCCCGAATCTTGATTGGGGGATAACGTTGTGGATATTGCATAAAAGACAAAGCCAATTCTGTCGGATTCCCGTATCATCTTTGTGGCGAGGTGTGGAGGGGCATGGCCACTGGATCTGGTTGCAGAAAATCCAAACCAGTCTTGTTATGTTGACACCCCATGTGCTTGACCAAAAGACAACCTGATGTGGCTCTGGAGGTTGATGATACACTATATCCGCTATGGGCCATTGAACTAGTTTGCTTATCTGATTGCTAAGGTTATCACTAGGACTTATGGGGTGTGCGCGATTTGAGGTACAGACCCCATTTGAATGGGACTTCCTCTTCATATGGGGGATTTAGACACATCAAGAGTACATTAAACGTTCTCTGTGACATCAATCCCTGAAAAACCCAATCCCGCACGCACCTGATTCCTTGGACCTCAGGACCTCTCCCTCTCAGGCTCTGCTCCAACGGCGGTGCCGTGCTCGCCGGCTCTCCGAAGCGCTACGGCTCTGGGCGGCGCGGGCCGCGCACGGTGCGCGAAGGCGGTTGCTGCCACTGCGGGCGACCTGCTATGCACGGGAGAGGCGGGGAGCGGCGGGATGTGGGTGTTGCCTGGGAGGAAGAATGGAAGGATCACTTCATCATCTCCCAGACGCTGCATGACAGGATTACTTGATCATCTTACACTAACATCTCTTCGGACTTCAGATGATTGTTGCTTGTGGTATACATGCCCACATTATCCCACATTATTGACCCCGAAACCACCTCCATGCAACGAACGTTCTGTGATTGCTACATGTGTCCTTGACTTTTGGAAGATTGCCAAGTTGACTGTGACGCATTCTGACCGCTCGAGATGCACTTTGCACTCCAGGTTTCAATTTGCAGAAGCTTTCCTAGGCATCCACTGCACGGTCGCTTCTTTTTCGAGGTCCCAAGCAAGCTTGGATCTTGTGAGTGCGAAGGACCATCTGGAAGATCTGCATGTGGATTGAACAAATCATCCAGTCTGAAAGCATGTTGTGTCGGCTTCATGTCCCCTTTTACAAGCCTTAGAGGCGGGGAATTCTTGCGGAATTGTTGGGCCTTTCCAGCTCGGAGAGGTTGATCTTGTAGACGGATGGATTCCGGCCCACCATGCATTTCATCGGCTGAACGTCCCGAAGCATGGACTCTTCGGAGTTCGGACCAAGATCGGACCAAGCTCGTTTGGGTGTCGTTCCCGGGCCAAACGGGAGTAGATCGATGTCCCAATCTCCCTAGACTTCCAAGACCATTAAAACAGATGAAAACCATGGGAAGGACCTGGTTTTTGTAGTGTAAAATCCAATCCTTAGTTGATTCGGGATGACCCGCCTATTCAATTCATGCTTGGCCAGGAAGCCTATAGGGTGAGATTCTGTCAGGATCTCCATTGTTCGACCTCTTTGGTTCTGGGGAAGCCCCAGCACAACGGCACGAGTCCCGTGGATGGGCCAGCTTCTACACGCTTGGGCGGCTCACCCAGACACCATCCACGGTTCATGAACCGTGGAACGACCGCCAGCCGGATGGGTGAAGCTCCTGCTGCGCCAGGCTCCTGGTGCGGAGCTGGTCTGCTTGGATGCACTTCTGGACCTCTTGCGCCCAGCAGGCACAGGACTTGGCGCAGAAGAGGCGGCAGCTGCTACGATCTCGCTTGTTGCTTGGAGCTTTGCTCTCTTCACCTGTTATTTTCGTGGACCGGATGCCTTCTTTTCTGCAAGTGCATCAGGCAGATTTCGGTGTGCGTAGAAGAAAGAACTTTATTTAGTTTAATTACTGTACATGATATTACATTTATACCAGGACCCTCCAAGGGTTGCCCAATGGAAGCCTATAGGTAGTGTGGGGTAGTTCAGCCAGGACACCCCTTGAAGGGTCCTGGTACACATTTATTTATTCCACTTTATTCACCACCTGCCAGGTGAGGGTTGAAAGCAGCTCGCTGTCCCCGGACCGGGCTTGAACACACAGAGTCAGAGGCGCCACACCATCGGCACCACCGGAGCTGAAGAAAGAAGGTCATAAAGAATCGCAGCTTTTGTTGCCAGCTGCCAGGTCGGCCCGATAGAATGGAAACGAACATATGCCAGATATACGGTCAGAATATATAGAAAGAATATCAGACTGTCAAGAGAATGTCAGAACATGTGCCACAGATAGAAGGCCAGAAAATGTGCCAGGTAGAATGCCAGATGCAATGCCGTAATATGTGCCAGTATACGTGCAAGATAAACACTTTCTTGGTGATGTTGAAGCGGGTCTTTAGGACCATTTCGTTGGGTGACAAACCTCCTTGGTAGAGGTCCAAGGTAAAGCTGAGACATATGAGTATGGGTCTTTCCTTTGCTTCTGTGTGGGAGGTGGCGACCATTTTATATGATACATGTGTGGCGCCCAGTAGTGAATTGGGTTTTTTTCCAGGGGTCACCCTGGAGACCCATGACTGTCTCGGAGTGCCTGCTTCGGTGTGTCTACAAGTCCAGGCTGGAAACGATTGGAAAAGCACTTGACAACAAACACCCGTGAGCCCTGTAAGACGACCCCTCAAATGGATGGGGGATGACCGGACGGTGCATGTCATCCAAGGCCAGTTGCCTGGCGCTTTTGGCACACCTGGGCTCAAAGTTCTTCGAACTCCTCACGATGCTTCGAGCTCTTCCGGACAAAATGCCGGAAGACATTGCGGCAAAGGACTTGGGTGGCTACTGTGGCGAGAACGTTGTCGCAGATAGTGTTCAGAAGTAGACAAAGGGCTCATGGCATGCGGCATGAGGGTCCCGAATGGTCCCGGGAAATTCTTGTGATCCCTCGGTTTTGGTTAGCCCATGTTAGGCCCAAATCCCTCTGGCTTTGGTGGTAGGAGACTGACCCAAGACCAGTTTGCCTCCCAAGATCCTCAGACAGAACAACTGCAGACCAGCAGCCATGTGCGAAGTATTTTTTTCGTCACTCAGTCAGTGAGTGCAGATGAAGGAAGGCCCCCGGAATCCTTCCTTGCTTCCTTCCTTCCGAATGAACGAACGAACGAACGGTACCGCTGGGAGGTGATCTGATGGCATGTCGACAGTCCCTGTTTACTCCCGGGAAGAGTAACATGGAACCTGAAAATGGAACTTTGGAAGACGATTTTCCTCTACAACCCAGTGGTTTTTAGGGTCCATGTTAGTCACCCTCAGGGTGTATTTATATGGCACTTGAAATACATGCCAGCACCGTACCCGTTAGGGGTCACCTGGCTGGAAAAGGCCCAGTCCACTACTATGCGGGGATTTCCCTGTCCAAGACACCCCTTTTCCAGGTCCAGGTGGTCAAACAATTCCTTCTTGTTCCATCCAGCTCATGGGCCGGCGCTTCCATCCAAGGCTTGGCATCGCTTCTTGGCGCGGCGCTGGGCACGGCAGCAGCGTCAGCGTGAGGCCATGGCGCTCTTCAAGGGCGCCTCGCGGCGTCACGCCTTGGTGGAGCTGTGGGAGGCAATGGCGCTGCGGCAGAGGCGCGCCGAGGAGCAGCTGGTGGAGCAATGGCGCTGGAGGAGCACCGGGGAGCCTGGACCAACGGTGGGGGAGGGGATGATTGATGTTCACCGATTTTCAGGGGGTCCAAAGGCAAAGCGGTGGTGATAGGATCTACAGCAATCTAGCCCCTCAAAGAGTGTTTCTATCTTTTCGGTGCCCCAGCCTCCATTTCTTTGAGGGAGGGCAAACAAAAATGTTGCAAATTGATCGGATTGCGAGGATTTCTTCCGGGCAGGGGAGGTTGTTGCCACTCCTCTGTTCCTTCACCAGGTCGCCCCTATTCGTCGGTCTTCTTCGGCTTTCCCTCGGTCTTGCGCGGCCGTAGAGCTGTCAGCTCTGCTGTCTGGGACTGAAAGGGGTCACCTGGATGGAAGCCCCTACACTACAAAGGGACCTGCAGACAGGACACCCCCCTTTTCAGGTCCAGGTAGAGATCCTATATGAGTCCAACCACCAATTTTATAGCCTGAATCCCGAACAACGATGGTTAAAAACATATTTTTGCACTACAAAGTCAGGTCAAGCTTTCTTCTTTAATGGTCTTGGAAGGCTAGGTTTGACCGAAGCCTACATTCTTAGAACATCTTAAAGCTACCCATCCATGGGACGGATTCTTATTCCAATCTCTGCAGCGCCCCCCTCCGTGAATTCCTAAACCCTAAACCAAAAACCCTAAACCCTATGTTCACACCAGATGCGCCATGGAATTGGCCCATGGCGCTTCCTTCTTGGAAGCGGCCTGGCCGAGTCCGGATGGGACCCGACCTTGATCGCGGGGGGTTCCGAAGCATGAACCCTTTCAATTCCACAACTATCCATGGGACTGGAAGATTGGCCCATGAACTTGGATGAGTTTGGGTCTTTCTGTAGGTATTTCTTCCAGTCCGTAGTGGGATTGGCATGGATTGGCGACCGGACCTGAGTTCAGATTGGCACCACGCTAAGCTGTTTGACCGTGCACCGGCAAGAGACCAGCTTGCGAGTTGGACATGAGTTCGAACTCGCCAGGAGGGCATCACAGAAGGAGGCCTTCCAGGTGATGCAAGCCTGGCAGATGCCCGACTCCTCAAAGGGACAAAGAACTCATAAACACTGGACGATCCAATGGGTGTCCGGAATTCATGGTTTTGCTTGAAGGATATATACATATTCATGGGTCCCGAACTGGGTCAATCCTCGAGTTTTTACTGGATTCCTTCCTTTGAGCCGTAATCATCCAAGAGTTGGACGTCTTTAGTCTTTAGTCTTTGTTTTCTTTAAGGACTGCGAGTCGGAGGTCAACCTACCCTGGTTTGGTGTGGATCCCAAACCAGCCCCACCCCCCTAACCGAATGGTTTTGGGGCTCCATGTGGTCCTCTGCAGGGGTATAGATGGTTGTAGTGAGACCTGGATTGACATGCAACAGTTCTGCCGAACTGGGCGGTTTTGCAGCGTTGCAAGACCTGGCAGATGGTGAGACGAGATGGTTGGATGGTGATTAGGACCCTTGAGGATGCTAGGGCGCTCAAGCAATGAGAACGACGCCACGTCGCTGAAATGAGAACGCGCGCAGCAGATCGCAGAAATTGGCGCACGCTTCTAACAGATGCGACACGGGAGCCCACCAAAGGCTCCGACCTGGTTCTTCAAAGTGACCTTTTGATCTCCTGGTTTGAGGTCACAAACAGGCACTTGGGACTCTGGACTCAGGTCATGAACTGAAGAAGCTGGTAAGTGCCCCTTTCTTAGAGAGACCCCTTCCATTTGCATGGACATTCCCTCCGTCTCGCCGCCAAGGTGCTCTGCCCGGACCAAGGCCGCAGCCTCCAGCCACGTGGTCGGTGAAGAAAGCACCGTTCCACCTGTGTGACCCCCAACACCAACAGAGGTAGCCAGTGACCTTAACTAGGACCTGTCACGTTAGGGGTGAACTAGGATAGCCTGTCACGTTCGGGTTCTGACCCACCTCTGGCAGCTGCACCGAACCTTGGACACCCAGGACATACCGATCTGGGACAGTCCGACCGCTTCTCGACCCTACCGGTCCGCAGCGGTCCGGGACGAAGCGGCTTCGTAGTCCTGGTCCAAGTGCAGAAGGTACTTGGAGGTCTAGGGATTGTGAAATCCTTAGCAAAAGAATGGTGGTTCGGGAGGCTAAGCCTGGAAGGCTAGGGTCAACTGAGACACGAGGTGGCGGGCGAAACCCCTTCACAAGAGCCGTTTTGACTTAGCTGTTGCATGGTGTTCCTGGTTGGTCATGGTTTTGCAGCCCTTAACAAACACAACATAACAGAACAATGTTACACCAGCATGGAACCTAACCCCCAAACACAAATCTTGATGAAACCACGAGGATTTGGGTTCTGTTTTACAGGATAAACCCAGATACCACCTTCAAGGTGGTTGGGACACATTTTTTCCTCGGCAATCGCAGAACTGACCCAGCAAGAGATGCCCGGAACTCTGGACCAAACGGACGTGGCTCTCTGCTCTGGACCAAACTTTCGGGAGTTCAAGACTTATACTTTAAAGCAAATGGTCTAACTAGGTTGCAGAAGGCCCAGGTCGCCTGGTGGTTGCACAAGGCGCCTAAACCCTAAACCGCTTGGGAGTACATATTCTGGGAGTCGAAGACTATAATAAGAATGGTCTGACGAACGGTGATCCGAGTTCTGGAACTTCCTGACACCTTCAGTCGGTCAAAATCGAGTCGATTCTTGGACTTCTAAGGTTAAAGCCAATGGTCTAACTACCAGCACCTTCCGTTTGCCCGGTGGTTTTTGGACACCCATCCCCGAATCAACTCTAAGAAGCTATTTATAGGCACCTCAAACGAAGGGTGCTGGTATAGGTGACCCGAGTCTAGGACTTTCCCTTACTTTGGTTGGGCCAAATCGAGTCGAATCTACTTCTACACGGGAAATCTTTTTCATAGCAGATCTGAGGTGAGCTGCAGAACTTCCGCACAAAGCTGCGGATGGAGCGCGAGACCGCCACGAACGACACCCAAAAACGCCATTTGGGTGTGTGTTGAAACAGGGAGACCTCCCAGGCAACGCCTTTCCTGGAACAAAAAGACTCGATCAGTTCTGCTAAGGGGAGTTTGTAGGCAGACCTTGGAAGTCATGACTCATGACTCGTGACTCATCTTACGGAGGACGTACCACGTGGGTCCAAAATGGAAGTTCGTTGGTGGACCGGTCGACCTGCCCTTGGGCGGAGAGCAGACGAGACACCCGGTCGGGCTCCAGGCGACTTGACCCATTTCCCTTCTCACATGCGCCATGACACGCGGAACAGCTGTGGGCTTCCATTCTAGAACATGAGAAGGGACTTGGATGCATCTGGAATCGCTGGAAGCGGACCTTTCAACGAGGAAGCTTGCCACATGCGGAGCACTCGTGCTCCCCATGGATTGAAGAAGGTCAAACCTGGCGGAGTCATCTTCCTCGACCCCTCCAAGACCGAGTGTGCCCAGAAACTTCTGCCCAGAAGCCACCGGACTTGGAAGGTCTTGCTTTGGGAATCTGGAGGGCGCTTGAAAGAAGGAAGCTGTTCCCGGTAGTTCCATGTTGTTTGGGCGCCAGTTCCTTGCAGGTTTGGTCCAAAAAACCTGAGATCTATCCTTCTGGGACTCAAGATCACCGTGGCCACCCGGTCGGAACTGGGCGCGGAGCTTGGAGCTTGGGAGGGAAGCCGTCTTCTTCGTTTGGGCCGCCGGGAAGAAACGCGGCCACCGCTGCGAGGCGGCAAGAAGAAGAGAGGAAGCGAGATGAAGAACGTCCGCGAGACTCAGATGTCACATTCCAGGATCTTCCATGTTATATATACTGTTTCATAACTATTTTAATTTAGTTATTGCAGCATTCTTGCAACATGTCATGTCAAGTCCCAATGACTTGAGTTGCTGTCTGCTGTTGGGTTGCAATACGCTGCCAATACGCTGCCTAGTCGAAGAGGCAAACAGTTCCCCTAGTCCAAACAACCAGGTTGGAGCTCATGACACCTTAAAAAGAACTCTGAACAGCCCCGTCGTACCGAACCTCAGGTTCGGTATGACTGGACCCGACAATGGCACCAGTCCCGGTCCCACCGAAACAAAACGCTTCGGTACGACTCAAGCCCTTCTCCGGGCAGATGAACAGGTCCAAATCCCTACGAGATGCTTCTCACTCGATTCCGGTCTCCATCACCTGGACACCGAGAACCGGTTTAGTCTTTCGTTGGTTGCCCGGTTTGGGCCGGTTCTGGCTGGGTCGGGGTGTGATTTCTGCTGATCTCAAGGGAGTCACTTGCACAGGCCGGGTCACTGACGGTCACTGACGGGATGGGAAGAACAAAAAGGTTACACTCTGAGGAAGCTGGGGTTCTTCCCTTCCACCAAACGGAATGAGATGCATGGCGGCCACTGGACCATCGGCTTATGCAAAGTGCAAAAGTTCCCCAAACGGCCTGCACGCCTGCACCCTGGTTTTGTCTGTTTGGTTCAAGAAAATTGGGAACGCCCTGGTTTTGTAGTGTAACATCCTCAGTAAAACCCTAGAAGTCCAGTTCCTTTTTTGGGCACCACCGGAAGGTTTCAGGACATTCCGAACTTGGATCACCGTTCGTCATCGTCAGACGTTTTAAATGTGGTAAGAATTTGGGTCGACTGGACTTCCAGGCAAAACCCATCCTCCCTGGTCGAAGCATCGGATCGACCCAGCGACCCCAGCGACGACGCCAGCGGTGACGAACGGTGGAACACACACCGGCGACGGTTTGAGGTGCAGCGACCGCGCGCGAGTCGGAGCACCGAGCAGCGAGCAGCGATGTCGGAAGATCCGTTGGAGCATCTGGCAGCATCCGTGTGGCTCTGCGGGTCAACCACTCCGTAGCGGACCCGGTTCGCCAATCTCATGGTGTTTTCGGGTGTTTCCAAGTTCGGTGCGCTTCGCCACCATCGAACCGGTCTTCAACCCAGCACCGAACGGAGGGTCCAGGGCCGGGATCCCATCCGTGGCATGGTGTCGCTGTGGCGCCACCGGCAAGCTGAACAACGTCAGTGGCCAAGGTAGTCAGACCAGCCCCTACTTCGTTTTCCGAAGAGAGGTGCACTTGCAATAGAAGCCGGTTTTTGGGCTCCGAAAAACCAGGTCTTTCATGGTTTGTTGGGCCGGTTATTAGTTATATACATAGTTTGGGTATAGGCACGGGTATGCAAAGGATTCCCTGAGAGTCAAAGACGGTCTGACCCATTCAACACCTGATTTCAGGAACGTGCCGTGTCCACTTCGGGGCTTCACGTCGATCGTAAAAACCCTCGACCTCCATATTTCTGCGCCTCAACCAGCACCCTCCAACAGGTCTCCGACATGGAGGGTTGTTAGGCCCTAACAGGTTTCAATTGGTGACCTGTTGGAGGGTGCTGCAATAGGCTGGTTTGGTTTCTGTTGCAGGTTGACCAAACTCGCCAGGGCCCTCTCCTCTGCGACTCCTCGTCACTCCCCAGGGACGACTTCCGCCGTGACCGTGACCGAGCAGAGGAGCCGAGGGGAGTGGCCGGAGGCGACGAGGCGACGAGGGTCTTTTAACGAAGGGCAAGAAGTTTGGAAGAACAGGAGAGAAGAGAAACCGTCTTTTGTTTTTTACGTTTTTCTTTTTATCTCGGATCTGGATTTGCGGACTGCGGAAGAAGGACATCCAAAGGATTGCTAGGCTTCAGCTCTCGAAAACACTCGAAAACCATGTCCTCACAGCTACCATTTCTGTAGACATGACCTCACGCACGGACCGCTTCTTTTCGGATCGCTTCTCCTCAGGAGGATCGCCGCACCCGTGAGTCTGGGAGACCCAGCACCGCTCGATGCCGAAACCGGCGATCAGGAGACCAAACGGTTGACAGGAGATGAACAGAATATGCGAGATCCATATTAACAACATGTATCAACAACGGGGACCATGCTATCCGTATGTCATTATTCTTTGAGATGTATTAACATGTATCAACAACGGAGGGGTCAACTTCTCCGGGATTTCTGTGTTGTTCTTCTTCTCAGGTTTTTTTGGGGGTCCATGTGAGATTTTCTCCTGTGGAGTTCATTCTATTTGCTTTCATTTTGCCTTCATTCTGCTTTCATTCGCTTTCATTTGCTTTCATTCTGCTTTAAATTGCTTTTATTCTGCTTTCATCATTCTGCTTATTTCATTTGTAAGAGAATGATAACAAAAGAACGGAAAACATCACGGGAACACATTCCGAAGCAAAGCAGGAGCCACAATAGGGAGAGGGTTTCTGATTGTCGACCTCCTTCTATGCTGGATCCTTGGCACTTGTAAGGGGTACCCTTTCCAAGCTTGTTGAAGTGAAGCTTTTCATAATAGGCTTATTTTGAAACTATGTTTTTGGAATTTGAAGATTTGTGCGTTTCCTTCGTTTTGCTTTCAATATGCTTTCGTTTGCTTCATTCTGCTTTCGTTTGCTTTCATTGTGCTTTCAATTGCTTTCATTTTGCCTTCCTTTGCTGTCATTGTGCTTTCATTTGTAAGATAATGATTATGAAGAGAAAGGTGAAGAGAAAGGGACACCATTCCAAAGCAAGCCAGGAGCCACAATATGGAGAGGGTCTATAATTGCGGACCTCCTTCTATTCTAGCTATGGTTTTGGAAGTTGAACGATGTTTGTGTTTCCTTCATGTTGTTTTCATTGCGTGTTCGTTTGCTTTCATTCTGCTTTCATTTGGTTTCATTTTGCCGTCATTATGCTTTCATGTTGAATCTGCAGTCATTATTTTGTACTGATAACATACATATATATATATATATATTTGGACATTTTGGGACCTGAATTCTATAATTCTGGATCACGTCTCTTAATCTGGCTCCATTTTGCAGATTTTGGAGGAGCAACAAATTACATTTGATCTATCTTTTTTTTAAGCTACCTTATTTATATATCAGTTATTTATATATACATAGCCTACCTGCTAATGACTAATCTAACATTAGACCACGTTTGGGAGGTCAACCCACCAGAGGTCATTACCATTCATCCATCGAAGGCTGGAAGAGTGTTTCACAGCCGTATGGAAGAACAATGGGGGACCCCCCAGACCATCCAGGTATGGAAAAGTGGCAGACATGTACCCCATTTATTATGATCCAAATGTATGTATATAACCATTCCATACATGGATGGTTCAGGGTTCGGGGTTCAGGCTATGAAACCAATCCCAATCCCAGAATATGGGACCATATTTACATTGGGGTGGTTGACCGGGGTCAATGTACATGGAGTGTCAGGCAATGGCGGGTTAAAGGAGGTCGACCCTTCGCCGCGAGGAGCGGGCATGTATGGAATAGTTTCCATTGATCCTTAAGACCTCTTAACACAATACCCGAATCAATGGGCAAAAATACATGGATGGTACTAAGGAGTTGAGACTCAAAACAACCATCCTTTCTTCTAAATGGCGATTTGAAGGCTGCGGTTTTGCTTCGGACCATGCCGCATTTGCACCCCACTACCCTGAAATCGTGATTCAGGTCCGAGCGCCGTGCGCGCCCGGAGCCCAGACGATCTGACGTCGCGCGGTGAAGTCAGAGGATTTGAGGCCAAAATGCACCCCCAACGAATCAAGTAGATGTAGATGATTGAGGTTTAGGGTTTAATTTGTCTTGGGGTTAGTTGAAATTGTCCTCCCAACACATGCAACTAGCAGCATCTCAAGGGCTGGGACGGGGCCTACAAAACGGGTCGAACCATTGGTGATCTATGCTGTTATAGACATAGATCATACATGTCATATATGGGTATACCAGCACCCTCCAAGAGGTGTCTATAAATCCTCTTAGAGATCAAGGGGTGTCCAAAAACCACCTGTTGGAAGGCAAGGTGCAGGTACTGATATGGGTTTATTCTTTGTACTCGTACTAGAATAGCAATTTGCTGAGAACTTGATCATTCCTGAACCATAAATATTTGGAGTAGTATTTGGAGTGAGAATGTCCAGTTACTAGTTGTTGTAACATTTCGGTCATCCAATGGCCAATGGCCCAAAACAAATGCCAAAGCCTCAAGCACTCAA